GCCAGGACAAAGTTATTTAGTTTCCCAACAGCAAATCATTTTTTGGTTTTCAAATAGCGATGACGTTCTTTCCTTTGTGCATTGTTATAGTCTAAGAAAAATGCATTTCACGCACCATGTGCCGACTTTCAAACTACATTACTCGATACAGAAATATTACGTGCATGATTTGAAAGAAAACTGGCCAGTTGAAAATTTTCTTATTCCTAAATTCTAAATGTAAATATTCATTTTCACTTAGTTTCAAGCTATTTAGGGTAGGATACGTACAAAAGATACGCGTACAGAACGTGCGTTCATAAATACGAAGAAAAATTAATGCAGGCTGAAGCAGCGCACGTTGAAAATGACACACGATCCCAGTGCGTAGGTTCTAATGTACATGTGACAATTTATTTCTACCACGGACGCCATTATGCGCGTCGCAACGCATGTCACTTCAACGTTTCTGTGCTCCTAACTTAACACTGTACAATTTCCAACATAGCCACTCCCATACGTTTATTGTTCCAATAAATTAATGATTTCTTCGTTGTTCCGTCCTGTTTGCATTGGGGTTTCCACGCGGTTCTTCTCTTCGTCTGGCTTTCTCTCACCTTCTCTCTCTTTCTGCCTCGCTCGTTCGTTCGCCTGTTTTGGCTGGTTTTTTTTTTCCTTCTTTTGGCTTGGTTTGGTTTGTTTCAATGGCTCGTCGAACAGGGTATCGGTTACGTGAATTTTTATGGATTAACGTTCTATCGACGCCGGATTAAAAACGTTCCGTCGCGGATACCGGTTCGATTAAAGCGAGTTGCGGCGGAAATTTCTTGTTTGAGTTTGATTTTGTTCTTTGTACAACCAAGTGATGGAGCACAGGACTTTTTGATTTAGGTTTCTCGTTCGAGGTTACGCTTCTCTCTCTTTCTCTGTTATTTTTCTTTGTTTTTTGGTTTACGTTACATTCGTACGCGAAATTCTTTAATTGGTAGAAAGAGAAAGGGCCTGCTCTTTGGTACCTTTGTTGCAACGTTGAATTTGATATTCGCAATGAAAATAGAAATATCCGATACGGATAAAATAGTTTTCAATGGGATGTTATTGTATTTCGCGGTCACAAAGATGTATCTATCTGTGTCTAATAAATCGATCGAAAATAGAATAATATTTTGTCAGAATTTCTCTGTTGCAAAATATTATTGGAGGCTGTTTGTAACACCAATGTCGGTAACCGCTGAAAAACCATCGGCAAACTGCCGGATGTTTATGCAATTTCATATTTCTAGGAATATAAGAAGTCCATAAAAAAATACAAAATGTTATTTTGTTATTACCTTATTATATTTTATATTGTTATTATATTCTTACGAAACATTCGTTAAAGAGCTTGAGTAAAAATTTCGTACACAGGATGCCATACGTAATTAGAACAAGCAAGCAAGCAAGTAAAAATTATTATATAGCTTTTGAATCAGGATTATTGATAAGTTTTCGGATTAGTTACAATTTTCATGTTTTTAGTAAATCTGAAGGACTTGAACGATATTTAATTACAAGTCATTATACATTGATTATTATTAGTGATTATTATTAGTGATTATATACATGTGATGTTTTATTATTTATTATTGAAAGAACGATAATGGATGATTACTAGAGGTGTGCGAGAACCCGAAAGAGTTGGGATTTGGGAAAGGATTGGGGAACAATTAGCTTAAATAATTCGTTAAAGCCCACGCCTTCAACTGTATCGAAAGGTCGCAGATGTAGAACCATCATTCGAGCAATTCCTTCTGTTATATTTTTTGGTTTAACAATCTTTCGCGTATCATTTTGTACATGCGAGAAATTTTATATCGATTCAGTTTCTTTTCTAGTACATGTACTAATGTTTGAATGTATATGCTTCAGTAGTATTTGCATACTTAGTTTTAAATTCATGGTGACAATGTATGCATTCCGCCTTTGTATCATCTCTGAATCTGTATCATTTCTGAAAATGTTCCCAAACAGAGCTTTTCTTTACCTTCTTCCTTTACACCATATCTTCTGCACTACTTCCTGCTACTTCTTACTCTCACTATCACTCGACATTTTTTTTAAAGATTTTTATTCTTTATTAAATTTACACAGATTTTGAAATATACGTCTGAACTTCCCGAATTTCTCAGCGATACTGCTCAACAGCACGATTCTTAGAATCCGTGTTTCCAATAATTTCACTGGCAGAAGAAATTGAACTGTGTATATACATATTTTGTAGGCTAATGATTACAGCAGAACATTGGTTTGGAACAAGAAAGAATGTTTGGAGCCTTAATTTGTTAAACTTCGTAAAAGATCTCTTAAATGCATGTTAAAAGTGGACTTAATATTTGGACCTTTAAAAATTCGATCTGACATTGCGGAAAGAAAAATTTCAAAATTGAAACGCACACTGTGATAAACAGCCTACAATATATAAACGTGTATGAACGTATGTACCTTGATAGTTAATAAAATTCATTATTAAATCACGTTCACACCTTTTTCAATTGAAAGTGAATGCCCAAGGATTGCAAATCAAAATTAAATGGTGTTCGACAGAAGATACTTGGGAATAATTTCACCGAGAGAAACACCTTACCAAAATGATTTCTCGCCTCGCAGAGCAACAAATAAACATGAAATAAAATGAAAGAATTAGGTTAAGATATGAAGTAGACAAAAGAATAGCATAGTTAAGATAAATATAAATATAGGATAAAGCAAAATAGGATACAAAATATTATGTAAATATTATAATATGTAAAAGCAAGGATAAATGCAATGTAAAACCAAAGTCAATTTCAAGGCCAAAGAGGCTGAAATAAAAATATACTACTACTACTGATTTCTCGCTTCGCGGTGTAGCTGAGACCAGACGTACAACACTGTTCAATTTTTATAATTTCCCGAAGCAACGTTCAACCTATACCTCTGTTTGCCGCCGTATCGGCGGAATTCGTTCGCAAGGGGTCGCAAAGTGAGCGATTACTTCGGCAAATAAATCCAGGTGGAAGACGAGAGCCGTGGTGCAAGAGAAGGCTGGCTGCTCGATTACGAAAACGTTGTTTAATTTTCCGACCAGGTGGGAGGAGGGCGAGGGGGAGTTCGTATCGGGTTTCACTTTAATTAAGCGAAATAATTAGCCGTCAAAGGTTCAGCTGGCGTGCCGCGAGAAACGACGCGGATATTTTCCCGCCGACAATGTCGTTTTTCCAGGCGGAAAAGTTGCGAGGGAACGATGGAGAACGCGAGGGGGGGAGTGGGTGGCAGGCAGGCAGGGCGACGTCGTCAGATAAGATTTCTCGAAATCGAAATTCGCAGACGCCGACGATTGGTGTACCCACCGGCGCTCGTCGAGACGCAGAAGCCTTAAAAACGGGGCCGTTTCGCTCGAAATTGCCGCACCGGTTAATCGATCCGCCACGTTCGCTGGTGTGCGTTCCCCGCGATTACCAACTCTCTCTCGTTCGAAGGAATCGCACGTTTACGCGGTTTTATAGGATTTTTCGCGAAGCAAACGCTGTAAAGCGGAGCAAAATGTTTTGCTAGGGTGTACCATAAGATATTGCTTATGTACGCTGGCGATAAAAAGTTTTGGAGCACCCTATCCCTTTTTCGAACGAAATTAACTTTCTTTTTTCTGTTTTTTTTTTTTTATTTTCCTCCTTAGAGACGAGGATATTATAATTATATCTTCGACTTTTAAATAAATGTCCTTAATTAGAGTTTCGCTGCTGGACACAAAATATAGAAAAAGTTGTCATTTCTTTCGAAATCTTAACTTGCATCCTGAAAAATCTTGTTGATATATTAACACATATCATTAAGAAATTTCATTATTAAAGATAAAATATCTTCAAATTTTTGAATGGCTGTATGATAACAAAACAGTCGCCGTATATATATTTTATACAAAAGTATGTAGGAGATGTGTGAGAACAACATACGAGTAGAAATAGAAAAAAACATACAGATTAATTGCAGTACTTATTGCTAGAGTATCAAATGAAACCTAAGAAAAAGATGACCGGAGTTCGGTTTAGTATTCAGCGAAGTACCTCGTGGGTTTTGATTGTGATTGGGAGTAGATTTAGGGAGGAAGGTCTACGAGAAGTAGATTAAAGTGGAGTAGGAAGAGTCGGAAAGCACGTAAGTAAATCTGCGTGTATAGGTCTTCGTTAAAGTAGAAAATGGAAATGGAAAGAAATAAATGAAAAACGAAACTTACCTCATAGGTGATTTTACCATCTTCGATTCACAGAGAACAAAGACTATCGATTTTTGTTTAAAAAAAAAAATTGTTATTCTAGTCTGGTCGTTGCGAGGGCACTGCTTTGCAATTAGATGAAGTTTTATACATTTTGATTTTACCATTAGTTCGTTCGTTCGTTTTTCGCGATGAAAACAAAAAGCCAAGGATATTTTTAACAAATCGAGAACGCGAAAATTATCGCCGTGTATTTTCGATGCCTACGAAAGATAAAAAAAATTTATCTGGCAAAGAGAGAGAGATTTTTTATCTGCTTAAATTTTTCATACAATTTCATACATTTTAATTCGTGGATCGATCGTACCTTAAAAAACGCGAACGCATAATACGCGATAACAACAATAATTTCGCGCCGTGGTGGACTATCGATCTATCGCCCTTTGGAACGCTTTAATCGCGCCGTCCATTTCGGCATGAATTTTTTAAAAGCGTATTTTTTCTCCTTTAAAAAAAAAAAAATCACGTTCCGAGAAAACAGCAACGCCCACAAATATTTACAAAATCGCAGCTGCTCACAGCTGTTCACACGAAAAGACCCCTCCACCGCATGAAAACCTATCCCACAAACAATACCCATTTTACCTCTATCGATCTACCCTGTAAAACATTAAAAACTTTACATTAAAAACTGGAAAAAAGGGAGGAAGATAAAAGGAAAAAGAGAATACAAAGATTTTAGAAATCAATTGCATGTTTCAGAAAATATACAGAAATATTTATATCGGTTTAATTGTCGATGATCGAATGAGTAAAAATTTTGAAATTTTCGAATGCTTAAAATTATAATAATGAGAAGCATATGACAAATTATAATAATGAGAAGCATATGACAAATTAAGAATACATTCGTTTTCAATTTTTTTTGGAGCTTGATAAGCAAACCAATTATTTTATTATTGATTGTAAGATCATCTAAATACTCGGAGGATTGATCTTAATTCTCGTTGATACGAATTTTGGAATTTGTATTGCGTTCAAAGTTTTCAATTGTAGACAGATGGTACGAATACCTCTGCAATTCACTATAATTGAAAATCATAGCTGTCTGAGTCAAAAATATGAGGTATTTTAATACACGCGTTACGCTTGTTTCAAAATTTGAAAAATTCAATGATATACGAATATATTGATCTATATAAATATTAATATACTAATAACACGTTAATGAAATTGAATATAAGTATGTACAATTAATATACCACAATCGTAATAGATGTACATTACTTGCAATAAAATTATAATGAAAGTAATACAATCACACACGATTTAAAAATTTTATCATCAGCGACGAAATGCTGGTTATTAGAAACGAAGAGTGTTCAAAATTTTTGAACAACAGTATACTTATACACGTACGTACGCGTATGTGACAATTGGATTGCCAACATTTATACACGTGTATTTTAAATACACAAGAATGCAGAACGAATACAAATGTTCAGATTAATCGTTGCAGTGCCAGTTTTTAACTACTATATGTGTGCCTAAGCCAAACACAGGCGTTCGTAGCTCAGAGGGTTAATCATCACTTTCGAGCAAGCTCACAAACAAGAGGACACTTTCTTCTTCCTCCCCGGCGCTTCGTTTGCCGCCATTACTCCCCAATTACGCCTTTCGAAGGAGGCATTTCGAAAGTTGCTGCTCGCGTCCTGACGTCGCGTCGCGTCGTATTTCACCGCCGGTGCCTCTTGTTTTTCCTTCAGTTGCCTCCGCGTATAAATATCTAAACCCCCCCGGAGCAACGAACGAGGAAAAGAAAACCAGCGACCGGGAGAGGAAGAGAAAGAACAAGAGAGAAGGCCGAACAACTCTGAGAAAAAACGAAGAAAACAGAGAAACGAGCGATAGTATGGGAGGGACCAACGAAAACCAACAGTCCGTCCCTGACGAACTCGCGTTATTTTAGCTCTCCCCGGAGAGAGGACCTTCGAAAACCTCGCGGAAGCATCGTCGAAGGGCAAAAACCGAGCCGGCCGGGACAGCGGGGGGTGAAGGGGAGGAAAAAAAGTGGCGCGCGACGTGGGGCTAGCAGGCTGAAGGGTATGCAAGCGGGCCGATAAGCTCGAGGAATCGATATTCGAGCGGAGCCACGATCCTCGGTGGCCCGTTCCCGACAGGACGCTGATAATCGGCCTGGAAATTCCATACCACCGTCTATCTATGTGTGTATATATGTGTAAGCGCGCGCGCGCGTGTATATATATATATATATATATGTGTGTGTGTACATGTGGGTGCGTGTGCGCGTGAACCCGGCCGTTTGCGAGTCACGGTATATAGTGGCACTAATTATTACACCGGTGTGCCGCTCGTTAACGCATGCCCGTGTAAATCTGCACCGGGGAAAAAAGTTTCGTTAGAGGAGGAAACCGTTCTTCCTTCCATCCAGCCTCCGTTCTCTCTCTCTCTCTCTATCTCTCTCTCTCTTTTTGTTTCGCGTTACATTACAATATACCGGGTGAGGTGGATTATACGTGGAAGAACTCGAGTTTAAAGCGTGCCGCTGTTTTGTTAGCTGTTGGAAGAGGAAGGTGGAGTCGGTCAAAGGAATTCCAGCACAGTGATTTTTTTTTTTGGCGTTCGACGGGTGATTAGAATGTTAGAAATATGCACGATCGAGGCTGCGAGAGAAATGAGGCTTGTCCGAGTATTTTGAAAGTATCATTCAGTTGCCGGGAGTGGTACAGCGCTGCCATTTTTTCGACCATTTACGACCTAGTAAAATGAAATAAAATTATTACGTATATGCTTTCTACACAACATCAGATTCTGGACACGGTCATTGTCAGTTAAAGAGAAGACTGCGCAGAATACAATGTTTGGTGTTTGAAAAATTTCCTTCTTCTTTACTATAACAGAATCCGTTTCAAATTCCATCTCTTCCATTCTCATTCCCGTAAAGACACGCGAAAACTTTCCATCTAGTCATCAACAAACCAAAATTCCGTCGCGCTTAGATACGTGACAGACTCCGTACTCGCCGCAAGCAACTCAAGTTAACACACTTACCGTTAACTTCCCCTCCCACCTCCTCGAAGAAACTAAGAATTCTGCAACTTGGATACGAAGCGACGCGGAAGGGTTAACGCGTCTGAACCCACCCTCTCGGACCGCCCCCGTGTTACCAGCTTCTCCTCTCCTCCAGCCATCGTTCGTCGAAGACTCGAAACGGTCGATGATGAAGTTTCAACCGTCTGCCACGCTGCTTTTTCCTTTTCTTTTCTCGTGTTCCACCCTCGACCCTAGACCTAACCTCTGCCCTTCTCTTCCTCTCTCTCTCCCCTCCTCTCTTTTTCTCCCTTTTCCACTTCGAGCCACGTTCCTGTACACAGGTCTCCTTCTCTCTTTCTTTCTCTCACCCCTTCCTCTTTCGCTCTTGCTACTTCTCGACAGCCGACTCATTAGCAGGTGATCAATTAAAAATTCGTTTGTTTTCGCGGTGCTGGGCATGGGCACCGCCCACCGTAGTAAGCCGGCTGGTGACGGCGAGGGTCGAACGAACGCAACCCCTGGTGACGGGTGATGCGCGCCGGGAAACCAGGGGAAATAGTTGGGGACTGGCAGTTTAGTGGCGACTGGAATACGGGGACGCGATATGGGTAATTTATATTGCCGGCTTTGCACGGGTTTTCAAGCGTTCTCGGAGCACGGCAGAATTTTCGTGGTCACGGGACACGGCGGTTCTTTAACGTGCCCCCCCCCCCCTGTCGCGTGGGTCACGCTATTTACCGGGAGTAAGGGGCTAATACTCCTTCTTTTACTTTCTTCTTCTTTCTTTATTTTTTTCCTCTTCCGACGCGAGGGTTGTGATCGCTCTCTTCGGCGATACGATGAGCAAGAGCCTGGCAGAAGCAAGAATTTGATGACCAAAAGCTGAACGATTATTTTTCCTCTTCCTTCGAAATTCACGACCTATAAATATGACGACCAGAACGTTGAATAATAATTTTATCAAACCATCGTTTATTATAAAAAAAAAAGTGAAGAAGTACGACAAGTATTTTTCATATATTTAATTTCTAACGTTTAACTCTTTTATTTATTCTTGAATTTCATTAGACGTGGAATTTATTAAATTTTTAATGATATTAAATTTCAAATAATAGTCCCCCTTGAACTTTCTTGATTAATTGGCAACAACAAATTTCAAGCAATGCAGAAGAAACGTTCTTAGTATTTACATCATTTATGTATCACGTTTGTATCATTTATGTATCATGTATGTATTATCATATATGTATCACGTTTATTTCATTCAGATTTTAGATTGACAAATGAAGGCTTGTTACTTTGAACTATGGTTATTATTTCAGATCCTTCCAATCTGTTCTTCACTCACGGCACAAAAAATACGAGATAAAAGCGACTCACCTCAAACCTACCTACCTTCCCTCGTCAGTTAATCGTTCAAAATCCTTTCATGCACGACGCGGTAAGTAGATATATATTCGAAAAGCTGAAAACTACCAGGCAATGTGTTCGTCTGCGAAACCTTCAATCTGGCCTGAATGAGTGACACACATCTCGATTCCGGCGATCGATAATAATGGACACTCTCGGCAAAGTCATCATCGATCCACCGCGCAAACATTCGAGCTGGATTAATCCCTGTCCGGCTGGATCCTCTCGGCGGCGACCACGTCGTCGGAAGGACGTCACCTTGTAGAAAAAAAAAGTTGATGGCATTAAGGCTACTTATTACGGTTAATGATCGGTTATGAAGCGAGCGCGATTTTCGGGCGACTTCGCTCGGGGCGAGAATAATTTTCAGCAAGAGCGACGCGTGCACCTGATCAATCACGACCCAGAAAAACTTCTGTTGAAATTTTCAGAGTCCTCCCACCCCCACTCTACGAAGAGGCAAACTGCTGCCGTGCCGCGTGTTACGCGCGGGGAATTACCGAGGCAAACGAAGCGACAGACGGTGAAATTTCACGTGGCGTGACTCGCGGTCCCAGCGAGAACCGTTCCAGCTGGGGAACCGAGCGCTTTATAATACATGCGAACCGTTCTCCGATAATTCTACGTTCAGCGTAGATCGCGTTAAACCCTCGTTGCACCTGATTAGTATCGGGTTATTTCCTTTTTTTCTTCTACCTCTTACAATTACGGATGTGAATTTCGAACGAGCTTGGTTTTTACGTGGATGAGTGACTGGTGAAGTTTCTTTTACCTTTCGAAATGTAATTTTTATTTCCTGCGAGGAGAATTTCAGCGGAGGGATTAATTGATTGCTACGAGACACGAAAGTAGGTTAATGTCATTTGTTGCACCGACATTATAAAAATAAATGTTGGAGGAAAATCAATGGTTAAATAAGGGTATAATGTAGCAAAGATTTCTTTCTTTTGAGATCACATCTACTGTCATTGCATATTTGGTTTTGTTGTTCCTTTGCATTTTAATAGGTCGACTAATCCTCGAAATTTTAAATTCACGATTATACTTACAATCACGTCAAATCAATTTCCCTTAATTTATTATACTTTTGATTTATTACACTTCACTGTGAGATTTGTTTAATGATATAATTCTCTGTAATAAGTATTAAGTATTATCTTTTCCTATCCAGTTCTATTCTGATGAGAAATATATTTTTGAATAGCATTGCTGACGTCTGTGTGAATCTAGAATTTTCCCCATTCAGGCTATTTTAATGTTCCCGAATTGTAATTCAACGATTTAGATATTATCACTTGCAAATTCTGCCAGAACATGATCTGATCGATCTTTCACACAGTATCTCTTTAGTATCACAAATATTTCTTCTCCAAAAATCACAAAACAATACGTATCTTATCGATAAACTCTTTCTATCCTGAATATTTAACAATGAAAATAATAAAAATTACATCAGAAAGTAAAATACCTTATAAAATGAGTTTATAGGAACAAAAGAACAACCAATTATTATACAGTAGAACATGTATTAGTGGACATGTATCATTAGTACATATTACTGTATCTATTATTACAATTAAAGTTCATTTTTCTTTCACATACCTAATAGGAATTCACGATTAGAGAAATAGATTTAACACGTAAATGTTCGAAGATTTAATCGAACACTGATCAAAATTTGATTCGGGTAAATGTTCGTCACAGACAGAGTTCTACCAACAAAAACCAAGGAACTTTCAAACCAAGTCAAATGATCAAACTCTTCGCTTACTGTGCCGAGGTCACAGTTTTGATCTGTATTAGGAGCTGTTTGTGTTGCATGCGTGCCATGTGTTCGCCAAATTGACGACGCCTAAGTGACGACGACTAACGACGAAAAAAAATCAGTTTCTGGTAACATTCTGAGAAAGAAAACCGTGTGCAGCAAATCGAAGCAATTTTTTATTTCAAAGTTTATTTTATATTTTAGTGTTTTTATTATTGTTTTAGTATTTTAGTATTTGGTATTTAATAATATTATATATTATTTTTTTTAGTATTTAGTATTTTATACTATTTTTGTATTTAGTATTTTGTATTATTTTTGTATTTACTATTTAGATTTTAGTTTTTAGCACTATTCTAATATTTTACTATTTTTATTATTATTCTTGTTCTTTTTATTACTTTCTCCGTTGTTTCTATTTGTTGGCGCAATGTCTTCATTGCCAACGAGCAATCCTTCTTTGTCTTCTTTTGCTCAATTTGCACAAGACGTTCCTGAATGACATAAATGTATAATAAATATATATAACTTTATTATTCATGTGACTATTATTTGTCCCTTGTACTGCTACATGCTCCTATATGAGTCGGATGTCTGTCACTATACTACAATATCGGTCTCGAGCGACTGTCACTCGGTGAGCCGTCCGGACAACCCTAAAATGTATTAGTGGGATACCCGTGTGGGTCGAAATGACTCCGGCACAGGACGATGAGGTTCAGTAGTCGAAGTGTTAATCAGACGCTGTCCCTTACGAGTCGTCAATCCTCCCTACAACGACCTGCTTTTCCTCGTGAAAAAACAACCGATCGCACCAAAGTAATCCACCTTTGTCTTCCACCATCTCCTGGACTGTGGTAACCTCGTTCTCTCGCGGTCCACCGTTCTAAATATCCCTTGGCAGATGCGATCTTGGCGGTCGTCGCGACGCCAGCGGCGGCTCGCGAGAACAGCGTCTCGCGGCTCTTGGTGGAATAAAAGGGATGATTGATCGCCCTCCCGGTGGCGGTGGCCCGAGAGAGCGTTACTGGCAAACGGCTGATCCAGCCACCGTCAGTCGATGCCAAACGTTGCGTGTAACGCTTCTAGAATGTCCCATTGTTCCGAAGACGTAGTGCGGAGTTTATTGCACGACGCGCGGCCACGGATACCGGGTTTATTGCCTAAATTGCGGTTCCAGCGCCGCGTTTGTCGTCTCTCTGTTTGCCAACACCCGCGACGATCGATCGTATCGGCACCGTGGGATCGTCTACGGCGGACAGTCTGGAGAACAGTGGAAGAACCCGAAAATATCAGACCTTATTATCGAGAATTCTTTTATTTTCGCGATCAGAAGTGGTCTTGAAAGTAGTCTGACAATGAGAAGATACTCGCGACTAGCTCGGAATTGGACACATTAATTACACATGTTTTATATTGCCTCTGACAATGAGTTTTTGATTAAACTGTAAATATTCAAAAACACTGTAATTTCTGAGACATAGAATATTATCATGTTTGCGTGAAGTGTAGAAAAATGAAACGAGCGACATCAATTTAAATCACGAACATGAAAGACTTCACTTTCAAAATTTTCTTGATCGAGATCCCTTGACAAGAGTATAAATAAATAAATTTTTATTTTGCAAATGGGACGATTCTAGATGCATAAATAAAGAATAGCGTTACCCAGGCTACTGTGTTACACGCATTTCTCCCAAAGAGACCGCAGAATACGTGAAGAACGCCAGAAACCTGGCTACCACACGGAAAATTAGGGAAACTAATCCTTTGGGTTGGAAAAAACCACCGACAGCGGTGCGAGTATTAAACCCCCAGTCCCCGACGTATCTTCAACCCTTCAATTTATCACCCCATTTACTCCAACCTCGACCACCGAAATTCTACCCAAAACGAAGGAAAAGAAAAGAAAACACATACATATAGATGTGTACGAAAGGAAAACAGCTGCGCGGGTGCGAGAATCCAAAAATATCGGGAATCTGATGGTGCTTGGGACTCGGGACGAGTCAGGCGGAAAATTTCGAGAACCCGAAGCACGTTTTGGGACTAGCTCCGTTGAATAAATCATGGTTTCGTGTCGCTTTGAAGCATTTCGGAATTCTGTAGCAAAAGATAATAATAAAAATAATAAATTTGTCACACATTCTCTTTGATACAGATTGTACATAGATTGGGAAAGTAGTCAAAAAATTCAGCAGCGCTAACAGAATGGAAAAAATATAAGGAAACAGAAAACAAACAACATATGATAATAATTTATGAATCTCCAACTCTGAGTTAATATTAGGAACCAATACACCATGTTTGAAGAAGTGTGAGAATTATGAGAAGTTTCGATGTGCATGTAAATAGACAGCAGCTTAGTTTTTGTTCTAAATTTCTAAATTTTGAAACGCAAAATTCGAAAGAATGCGCATAATCTGAAAACATCCAACGTTCAATAACTTTCTATAACATTTAATACCTACGTAATAGCTTCTACCAACTTTCTATCAAGCTTCTATCTTTTAAATTCCAAAAATTCTCCCCCCCCCCCCAAAAAAAACGCAAATTTGCAATCCACGTGTCTGAGATACGACAACAACACACGAACAAATTGCAATCCGGTAATCTTTCGAGTTCTCCGAATTCTCAGTGACTCCGTTATTTTCGAATCTCGAAGTAATTCTCGATCAGGTTCGAATCCAAGTTCTCGTGCGCTTCGTAAAAAAAAAAAAAAAAAAAAAAAAAAAAAAAAAAAAGAAAAAACCAGCGTAAACAGGGAAATCAGTTTCTAGGGCGAGAAACGCAGAACGCGTTTCGTAGCTGGCGGGACAGGGATATTTATTGCTGGAAGTTCGCTGGGAATCGGGCGGCGGTCATTAATGGAGCCGGTGTAATTAGTCAGCGGCCGCTGAAACGTAGCCTGGCGTTCGCGCTCGTTATTATCGGTCGAAGGGTGGAGGCAGGGCGTTTCGTTAAAAGCGCTTAAAATAATATCGGGTGAAAGTTACACACGTGATCTCGATTGCGCTGGCTCTAGCAAAAAGAGAGAGAGACAGAGAAAGAGTGGGCGGAGGGAGGGGGAGGGGAAGAAAGGGAGAGGGTGAGCAAGGGAAGAAAACAACGGGGAGAAACGGCGAGCTCGTTATGCAGATTATTAAACTTTGATAATCGATAAATATTCCTGGCTCGTTTTCGACGAAGGTCAACATGCGCGCCGCCCTTTTTCCGCCCTCGCTTCCGCCGTGGGTTCACAGGCAGGCTCGAGCATTGTATGAACAAAATATTTGAGAAATTATTTAAATAATATATCGTCGAACCTTGACTCGATATTAACTATCATTCGTCGGGTTAACTGGTCTGTGTCAGAATACTCTAACGTTGAAAGAAGACTTGTGGAAAAGGAACAGCATTGTTTAGAGAAGTCTAATAATTTAAAAAGAGAAACACATCTTTTTACAAGTACGTTCTATCTGGGTATAATTTTTAATATACGTGCATAAATATA